GAGTAAGCTTGTAGAGGGAAAGAACGTTGTGTGGGGAAGAAAAGTCCCTTCGAAGGGCAGCCCTTCAAATACTTGAGCAGGTGCAAAGCCGGATCCCAATGTGATTCACAAAGTGCATGGACGAACTGACTAAGCTGTTGCACACCTAATGTTATGTCTGGTCGTGTCAAATTCAGGTATAAGAGGCGGCCAATTAATCTCCTATAACGTTTAGGTTCAGGAAACAAGGAACCTGCCTGGTGAACCAATTTGGTCCCCTTTAGAAGTGGCACTTGTGTGGGCTTAGCTCCCATTAATCCAGCATCATGAATTAAATCAAGGATGTATTTCCTCTTATTGACATACATACCTTCATTACTTCGTACAATCTCGAGGCCCAAGAAGTACTTAGCATATCCCAGATCTTTAACAGTAAAGACTGAATCCAAGTATTATTTGACAGCTATAATATCATCTTCATGTGAGCCAGTAATCAAGACATCGTCAACATAAATCAAAAGAACAAATGTCCTTTGGGAACTGTGTTTAACAAACAGGTAGTGATCATGTTCAGATTGAAGAAAGCCAAAACATTGAAGCTTCAAATTCAGTTCAACATTCCATTGTCGCGAAGCCTGCTTTAACCCATAAAGGCTACACTTTAACTTGCAAACCTGACCTGGTAGTGCCTTATGAAAGCCATCTGGTGGTAACATATAAACCTCTTCATCCAAGAAACCATGGAGGAAAGAGTTATTAACGTCCAGCTGATGTAAAGACCAACCCTTAGCTGCCACCACAGTAAGGAGTATTCTTACAGTAACCATTTTTGCCACGGGTGAAAAGCTATCAAAGTAATCAATCCCCTGCAATTGCTGATAACCTTTGGCAACAAGTCTTGCCTTGAGCCTGTCAACTTTACCATCTGGATGCAGTTTAACCTTGTAAACCCATCGTGAGCCAATGGCTTGTTTCCCAAGTGGAAGAGAGGTCAATTCCCAAGTTTGGTTACTCTCTGGTGCATTAAGGTCTCTCTGCATTGCCTGAGTCCAATCCTCATTCTGACCTGCCTGAGCATAAGAACATGGTTCCTGGATAGTTGATAAAGAGGCTAGAAATGCAGCATAAGAAGAACTAATGTGAGGCAAGACATGAAAAGGAAAAGTAGGAGGTGTATACCCTTTAGAATCTGATGGTGGTGGCCTGCAAAATGAAGGAATACCAGTAGTTGGCAAAAGTTGAGCACTATTAACATGGTAACAAAATCCTGCAGCCAAGAAGGTTTAGATTTTACCCTAGTACTCTCTCTATGTAGAGGAGTAGGTGAAGTTTACAAAAGACTAGATGGATGAGAGTCATCTGTAGACTGTGGGTTAAGGAAAGGAACATGAATGAGAGGAAATGAATCAGAGGTAGTGGTAATGGAATCAGAAGTAGTGGCTGGACAATTAGCATCATCCTGTTGGGAGTTTATTTCTGGCAAAGCAATGTCTGTCAGGATATATGGTGCTTGTGAAGAAAGGTCGACGGAATCTGGATCCAGGGGTAAGGGCAATGAAAGAAGTGGATCAACAGAAATATTACCCTTGAAAGGAAAAATGGACTCAAAATTTTTACATCTCTGGATACAAAAATCTATTTGGTAGAAACATTGTAAACTTTAAAGCCCTTTTGACCAGGATTAAACCCAAGAAAGGCACATTTATATCCCCTTTCCTCAAACTTATCCTTGTGTGGTTTAGTATTTGCAGTGTAGCATAGAATTCCAAAAGTTTTGAGAGGAGAATAATCAGGTTTCTTTCGATATAGCATTTCAAAAGAAGTAAGCCATTTTAGGACCTTGGTAGGAAGTCTGTTGATAATAAAAGTTGCCATCAATATGGAATATGGCCAGAATTTTTTTAGTAAACTAGATTGGAACATCAGAGATCTAGCAATTTGGAGTAAGTGCTTGTGTTCACGTTCAACGACTCCATTTTGTTGAGAAGTGTAAACGCAAGTTCTCTGATGCAAGATCTCTGAATTTTGGAGTATCAGTTCTCATACACTTAACTTTCTTATCGAACTGATTTTCAACCATTTTGAAGAATCAATCAAGTTTCTTTGTAACTTGTGTTTTGTGAAGAAGTAGGAAAGTCCAGGTGGCTCTACTGAAATCATCCACTACGGTTAAAACATAAGGAGTACCTGTTAAGGAAGATTGTCTATAGGGTCCCCAAAGATCAACATGCACAATTTCAAAAATGGCATCAGTATGTATAGCACTAACTGGAAATGAGTTTTGGGTTGTTTGGCCTTATGACAAATTTCATAATGTTGTAAGACATCCTTTTGTGGAATGTTTCAGAAAATCCAAGTATTGTAAAGTGTGAAATGATGTGTGCCCAAGTCTCCCATGCCACTTAAGAAGAGAATCAGTAGAGGATGAAATGACATTTTTATTGACATCATAAGTCTGGTTATAGAAAGAAAAAACATTTGAAATTCCAGAGTTAATAGTAGAACGATCAGTATTTTCCATATTACTAAAACAGAAACTTGACTCATCTAGGAGATATAACTTTCCTATAAGCTTACCATCAGTTAGTAATCTTTCACTCTACAGGTCCTGTAATAGGCAGAAAGAAGGATAAAAGGTCTGTTTAAGGTTTGCATTTTGGGTAAGTTTTGGTACCGACAGTAGATTGAATTTAAAGCTGGGAATATATAACGAATCTATGAGACATAATCGTGAATTCAAATTTACATTTCCAATTTTATCTACTGGTTTAGTGGATCCATCAGGTAGATAAACATGTATGGGTTGTGGTATAGTTCTTATTTTTGTCATCAATTTAATGTCTGCACAAATATGATTGCTAGCCCTTGTATCAATAATCCAAGTCCTAGGTTTCAAATAATCAAGCTTGGCCAAAAGGGAATGATAGTAATTCATACCTGAGTACTCCTTAATATGAGTGAAGTTCACTTTATTCTCCATATCTATTCGTCTTAAGGCTCTTTGAACTTCCTGTTTTATGATATTTATTATATTACTTGATCCAACCACATCATTTTTCCTAATTTCATTCATTTGTTCTTCATTAAAGTCTAATGGTATCTCTGCCATGTCTGCTGAATATTTACCATCAGTGAAACTTTTAGACTTCTGTTCCTTTAGATCTCTGTACCAGTCTGGGTATCTATTAAGCTTGAAACAAGTATAACAACTATTTCTGCCTCCACTATCTCTTCTGTACTCAGTAGTTTTAATAAACATGGCTGAGTTGTCATTTGTTTCAGGATAAATCACGTGAACTTCTCTTCGCTTTTCAACTCTAATCACCATTGAATAGGCCTTGTTGACTGAAGGTAAAGGATCCATTACTAGAATTTGATTTCTTACATGATCAAATGTATCATTCAGTCCCATTAAAAATCGCATTAATCAATTGAATGCTGTCACATCCGATACTTCCTTGGATGATGCACAAGTACAAGTAGGAACAGGCATCAAACATGCCAGTTCATCCCAAAGTTTCTTCAATTTAGTATAATATTTCTCAGCTGTCGATCCCCCTTGAGATATACTTCCTATTTCCCTTTGCAACTGGTATAATAGGGGTCCATTGCACTCCTCATACCTCTTCTTTAATTCTTCCCAGAGATCCTTTGCAGAAGATATGTAAATAAAAGCCTCTACTATTTCCTTTGAAATTAAATTCAATAGCCATGATCTAACCATACAGTCTACTCGAACCCATTGTTCAAATTTACCAGAATTTTCAGCTAGTTTTCCACAACTTCCATTAATAAAACCCAATTTCAATTTTGCTTCCAAGGCTATTTTAATAGATCTATTCTAGTTAAGATAATTCTGACCTGTTAAATGAGATGTCACTAGATGCATTCCTGGATGATCTGAGTTTTGTAAATCTAACGGATCTCCATTAGAATATGCTTTCTCTGCAACTTGCCATTCTGCAGCTTCATCGTCTTCCGATTCAACCAAAGGTAGTTCTTCAAGTGTTGTCATTTTATCTTAGTAAGGAGAACTTCTCAGAGCTTTAAACCTGCGATGATACCATGAGCAAAGCAAAATACAAAGCTAATTTGTAGAAAGATTATTCATTAATTCTCAAAAACAAACAAAGGAGATCTCCATCTTAAATAGATGAAGAAGAGATAAGCAACACTAGGAACTAAAATAACAGCAAAGGAAAACAAAAAACGTGATCACTAGAACACGCCTAAAATGCCTGAGCCTGGTTGACAATGGGCTGAAGGCTGATCATGGGCTGATAGTTCTTCAAGGTTCAAAGAAATGAGCAGTTTAAGAAAAGATGAATTTTACGAACACATGCGAAGGCTAGGAAGGTTGTCTCACCTTAATCTGCTGCCGCTTGTGGCTTTCTACTACACAAATGTAGAAAAACTTTTGATAACCAAGGTTGCTGAACAAGGCAGCTTGGCTAGTCACCTCAATGGTAAGTAAATTTTCACTAAGTTCTTTTGGATTATTAGAATAGAAGAAACATGGTTGCGTTGCATACGAAGTTTTTCTTTCTAGCAAAGCCATCTCGTCTAAATGTTTAAACTATGAGATAAGGAAAACATTAATTTTTTTGATTTTTTTTCAATATGACCGCTCAAGAGCAGGTAGACCTGACTTTTTCATCAAAAGCCTGAACCATATATAGTTTTAGTAAATGAGTGGTAGTGAGACTTGATCTCACAATTCTGTTTGCTATGATACTAAGTTAAACTACTACTAATAAAAGTTTAATGTGTGAGATAGGAGACAATCTTAATTGAATAATCTACACATACTCTAATGTGCAGACCCAACTTACTTTTTATCAAAGGCTTACAATAACATTGAATTGAGTTTAAAATGTTAGATATGGCACGCATGTCATTTCCTTAAAATTTTGTCTTAAACACCCTCTAGTGTTTCCATTTTATCTAATAAATATTTGGACTCAATTCAATATAGGTAATCGAAGTCCTCAACAACTAGCTCTTGACTGGCCAACCCGCTTAAAGATCATCAAAGGTACAGCCAAGGGATTGGCTTATCTTTACAAGGAGCCCCCTAACATAACCGTACCACATGGCCATCTAAAGTCATCCAATGTTATGCTAAACTACACACATGAACCCCTTCTAGTTGATTATGGCCTAGCACCAGTGATCAACAAGAAGCACGCCCAACAATTTATGGTAGCCTACAAATCACCAGAGTCTACACAAAATGACAGTTTAAATAGAAAGATTGACGTATGGAATCTTGGGATTCTGTAACTAGAGTTGCCCACTGGCCAGTTTCCCGCGAATTATCTGAATCAGGGAGAGGAGACAATGCTGATTTGGCAGTATGGATTAAGTCTGTTGTAAAAGAAGAGTGGACTGGTGAGGTGTTTCATAAAGAAATGAATCCGACCAGGAATGAGTAAAGTAAGATGATGAGGCTTCTGAAAATTAGGATGTGTTGCTGTGAATGGGATGTGGAGAAAAGATGGGATTTGAATGAAGCTGTTGAGAAAATTGAAGAGTTAAAGGAAAGGGATTGGGGTGATGACTTCTCTTCAAATGCTAGTGAAGATGTGTATTCATCGAGGGTCTATTACTAATGAGGGATTGGCATTCTCTGTGACTTGAAAATGAATTGAGCACGAAGACAACCGATGCATACGCTACGAGCTTGGAAGATTGAGGAGCAACAAGATGATGTCAAACCTTTCAATTTCATGGTTTCTGCATTGGCAGTTCTAAACAGTTGTATATGCTTTTAAGTGTGTTTTAGGCCGTTATAAACAGTTGTTTTATGCTTTTATTGGACAAAGATCCTTTCAGCCTCTTGTTGAAAATCTACTTAGTATGTTAATTGAAGAGATTAGCTGAAAATTTTCTGCATCGGAAAGAAATTCCAAACTGAAGCATGCTCCATAGCCTCCTCACTCATGTTTCAAGTAGGACTGTAAAATGAACTGTGTTAGTCATGTTATATCCCAGCCTTTCATGACCCATGGATTTTTCATATCGGGGCATGCTCAGTACAACAAATATTTCCATGGTCCCACATGAGCCGTGTCTAGTCGGCTCATGGAACCGGCCATGCCAATTTACACCTCTAGTCATAGCCCCTATCTCCCATTAAAAAGAAAAAACCAACTCCCTTAACGTATAAACATTCTATGCAAGTGAAGAATTCTTGATGATGAATTGAGGAAGTTCCCACTAAAATACCCGTGTTAAAATACAATTACTCTGTTATTTTATGCCAATCAGGAAAGTTAAGTATACTATGATAAAAAAGAGCTTTGATTAAAAAAATGAGTATTTCATTAGATTGGTTTGCGTCTCTGAAAAACAAAGATAGAACCTCTAGAACCTTCTCCAAGTCGTGATCTTCTCATCTATGTATGTAATCTCTAGCTTCACTTCACTCTCCCCAACCATATGTGAACTCCAGTCCTCCAACCTTGAGTTCAGGTGGCTCAAACGCTACTTGAATCCATGTTTCATCCAGAGCAGTTAGTTTCCCTGCACATTAACTCGAGAATTAAGTGCATGCTAGGCATTCAGAGAGTGTAATAGATAACATATTTACTTCTGTGGTCTACATTGATTGTATCAAACATACCTTAAATGTTTTCATATGAAATATGGATTAAATTAGGACAAAAATAGAATAACAAAAAATAATATTGCAGGGGAGATTAAAAAATGGTATATATACAGAATCCTTGTTCCACTAGCAGAAGTCTACACATATATGCCATGAATTCTGTACCACGGGAAACGAAAATTCATCATGCATGTAGCTAATAGAATGTTAATCAATGGAAATAATACCGGAAGCAAGAATGCAGGATGGAGAAATAAATAATAGCTTTGTAATAGGCACATTTTATCAGGAGCCTAAGCTTATTCATGGAGGTCCAGTTTCAATTTATGGCTTAAATTACATACTAGCTCATGCAGACAGGTTTTACTTTACCATCAGGCTGTCAAGTCGGACATAGGAATGAGATTGTTTAAACTTAGCCTTTGTTTGGGCTCAATTTTAATGAGGTTTAGGGGAAAATGTATTATAGAATAGTGATTATTTGAATAATGTGTGGTTAAAAAATAAAGAAAAGTTTTAGGTTACGTGTAATATTATTTTATTAGAGAATGTGCAGTTAAAAA